GCAAACATGTCGATTCAGACTAACACGGAGATGACTTTGAATTAAACCATTATAGATATTCTGATAGGAAAAAAACACTTGCATCTTGTTTCTGAAAATCCTCTTTTGCTGCAGTGGTGCCAACAGTGACAAATGTGCTGCATATCAAATTGGTTCAAGTGACTGGGAAGTGGAGTCCAGCCAACCAGCCTTCAGATATCTATTTGCCAGGTCCCCATTTTCCTTGGGAGAGGAAGACATGCCTGAATAGAGAGAGAGGGTAGTATGATATGACCTTTAAATGGCATATTGTGGAATCGCATCTGAATCTGCACATACTGATATGTTGATTTATGCATGTTATTGAGAGCACAGGATTCCAGTTCAGTTGCACAGTGATTTTGTTGCTGCATTTGTTATGAGGATGCAGCATCATGGTGGTAGGCTCACGGGTGTGAGGAATAAAGGAAAGGATTTGGTAGGATGTTGTAATTTATTTGTTTTGCTAGTTATTGTAATATTTGTTTTTGTCTGTTACTTGTATACAATAAAACTACAAATTCACACACACACACACACACACAAAGACTTCTGACAGTGAAGAGCCTTGGATCTAGTTTTACTCTCTTTTTGTATGCTTTGTTCAGATCTGAAGGCAAATGCATATCTGTTCAGCAGAACATACCTTGTACTTTGTTTCTGAACCCTGGACAGATTTTGCTTTGCTTCACATTCCTGTACTTATTTCTCTTTTTGCTCCTGTCCTTTTTTCTTAATCTTGTTTGCTGGCAAAGTATACATGGTTAATTTCATCATGTTTCTATCCTGTTTGACCTTCACATGCACCTATTTGTCTTCATAGAAGACCTTGCAAGGAAGTGCTAGGCCCAATTAACATGTGACCTGAGATGCTAGATCAGGATGACTATTTTTGCACCATCAGTGGATTCCTAAATTCCTGGACTGCTCTCTTGCATAGACACATGAATTTAATTAGAAGAGAGTGCTGATGAACAATTATTATCAGTGGTTTGATTAGGTGACATTTTCCTAAATGCTTTTCAAATTGCAGCTCCTGTTCTGTAACCATTTGTCAGATTGGTGACACAAGAGGAGGCCTCTATTGTAGGGTTTTTAGTTATTGATGGCTTCCTATTAACCAGACTTAATATGGGTTGTTAATAATGAAAGAGCATTACAGGTTAATCTTTCCACAAGAAAGGCAGGCTATAAGATGCATCAACAAGATCCTTAACCCCTTGGAGAATCACATTTACAGAATTTCCTTGACTTCATACTTCAAACAATCTGAACCCATTGCCCATTCCATGCATTTTACAAAGGCAATTAGAACATATTTCCTCACAGTTTGTTCATGAGTAAATTCCATGTATTTCTTATGAATCGGCTAAGGCCTTTGATTTTCTCCATATAAAATAGTTATCACTTGGATTGGAAAATAATTTATTGCTTAGGATATCAGATCAATGTTTAGGACAACAGTTTAGATTCTCTAACCAAACCATATTTCATAGTCCCCATAAACTGATGAATAGATCATAGGTCACCTGTGTTCACAAGGTAGTTCAGGATGGAAGCAAAAATTACAGGAGTTATGGGCTGGACTGTTAGAATTTACCTTATTTCTCTCCTTCTCAGAGATCAATTGACATAATTCTCCATATGTCTTGTGTAGAGGCTTAGAACAATCAAACTAGGACTTCATATGAGACTGTCCCAGCTGGTCAAGTTGTGGGTGATGCAAGGGAAATTTGTTCGTTCACAATCAGTCTGGGTACTTTCAAGTGACCACTTCATCTGACATAATGACATCTGACATCAAAATGATCTTTCTGTTGGGACAATTCACTATTTGAGTGCTTTGCTTTCCTAGTCATTACTTCATAATTTTCATTTGGTTACAACTGTCTATGTTGAAGTAAACTCCTTCTAGAAGTCATCAGTGGTGAAAACTGTTGCCATTATGAGCAGAATTTAAACCAGTCAATAGAATTCCAAGATGCTAATATTGAATTTTTAAGCAAAAGAATGATAATGCATTTTGTCTGGTTTTAGGTGATGATGTGATCCCAGAACAGCCTTGGTTGCTGTGATAGACAGCTGCTCTAATGAAAGACAGAAAGTGTCACCTTTCCAGATCTTTCTAAGTTTCTCAGTGGCTTCTGAAACCACTGCTCATGGTATTTGATGAATTAGTTCTGTCACATAGTAGTGAGAGGCACTAGGTTAAACTAATAAGGCCAGTTCCAGAGTAGCAGTGGGGACCCTTGTCATTGATCTGTGGCCATTAAACTGTGGGATGCAGAATTCTACTTGTCTCCCATACTGTTCAGTGTCTGTATGAATCCATCGGGAGAAGTCAGTAGGAGTTTTCTGGTTTAGTGTTACCATCTACTTCCCCTTTTCATCAGAGATGACTGGGGCTATGCAAGTGCTAAAGTAATTCCTGTATGCTATATTGGACTGGGTGAGGCCAAATAAACTGAAGCTGAATCCTGATAAAATTGAGACTCAGTGGCTTGGTGAATTAGATAAGCAACCTGCCCTAAAGGGAGAAGGTATGTAGTTTGCGTGTTCTCATACTTTGTTAGGGAGACCCAGAAGTAGTCTATAGCTCAGAAAACCGGGGGATATGTTTAACTGATTTGCCAGACATGGCCTTTCCTGGACATGTATAATTTACCCATAGTAGTTAATGCACTGGTACTTTCTGACTTGTGTAGTGTACTCTTATGTGAATCTGCCCTTGAAGATGACCTAGAAGCTGGAGTAATACAACATATTGCACCTAAATTGCTGAAGAGAACATCTTTCAGGAACTACATGATGCTGATTTTAAAGGAATTACACAGGTTGTCAGTATGCTAATTTGAATTTGGGGTACTTGTGATGGGATCTAAAATCCTTCATTGCTTCAGTCTCTGAAGGAAGACTTCAGTCTATATCAGTGGTTCTCAACCTGTGGATCCCCAGATGTTTTGGCCTTCAACTCCCAGAAATCCTAACAACTGGTAAACTGGATGGGATTTCTGGGAATTGTAGGCCAAAACACCTGGGGATCCACAGTTTGAGAACCAATGATCTGTATACTCCTGCCAGAGGACAGAGATCTGCTACAAGGACCTATTTTGTTTTCCATTAATGAAAGCAATGCAGTATGTGAGGACTCAATTGTGATGCCTCAGATGTGGAATGCTATCACCTTAGAAACCTAATAGCACTGACATTGGCTTTATTTCAGCACCAAAATTAAAGCATCACTTTTTATTAAACCTTTTCAGAGAACTAACAATTTTATCCGGTTTATGCATGTGCTAGCTTTAACTTTTTAAAATATTACATAATTATTTTAAAGTATAAAATTTTTACTGGTTTAAAATACAAATTGGTTTAAACTGCTTAATTGAATGCAATTGTAAACTTGCACTGACATCTTTGGATATGGGGTGGGATTTCTTTTCATGTCAGGAGTGACTTGAGAAACTGCAAGTTGCTTCTGGTGTGAAAGAATTGGCCATCTGCAAGGACATTGACCAGGGGACACCCAGATGATTGATGTTTTACCATGACTGTGGGAGGCTTCTCTCATGTCCCCACAGAAGAAGCTAGAGCTCGAAAGACAGGAGATTACTCTGTTCCCTAGATTTGAGCCACCGACCTGTCGGTTGACCAGTCCTGCTGGTACAAGAGTTTAACCCATTGTGCCACCAGGGGCTCCTATAGGATGGGATATAAATATTTTAATTAAAAACGTTTTCTGGTAACCCATGGTATATGCCAAGCCTAGTCAATAGTAAGTGCATAATTTGGACAATCCATTCAAGCTTCATATTACTTTGGAAATATCAGTGTATCACAACCAAAGCCATAAACCACTAAAGCTCCTAAGACTCCAAAGAAAGGAAAATCTCCTACTTGCCCACTAACCACTTTTAACAATGCATTTTGTGAAGTAAGCTATGGTCTGCTTTTGTACTTATACATGGGATTTGGTTACATTGCCTTTAGTTTGTCTAATCTTCATTCTGGCAAGGCTTGCTTGTGTATCTGTAACCTTATCTTGGCCGGCAGTTTGGCATAAACAGCAGACCATACTGCTGTGAGGGTACTAAAGTGGTGGCAAAAATATATGCTCACTGAAGCCACTCAAAGAGGAAAATCCAGTTACAGAGTACCAAGAACTAATTACATGTAGCTGACGTATATATCAACCAGTAGTTTTAAAGGAATATCCCTTATTAAACCTTTTAAAATGAAGAATGTATCAGCTTTATGGAATGCTGCTGCAAACTGCAAAGTGTTACCAGCAAAAAGTAACTATAGTACCAGTGTCCTCTGCCAATCCAATCACATTTGAAACTGTAGATTTTGCAACCCATGGGGATCGAATGTTGCCTGCAATACAATGCTTCAGATGACGCACAGGAATAATGAATGCTTATGCTTTAGATCCTTGCCACAGTATGAGAAATATTTCTCCCTAGAGGATAAGCAGTATTGTCACAATTGTTCCTTCTGGTGTTAAATGGCAACAATTAATTGTAGTCATTAGACATTTTACAACCTACATAGCTATCACTTGTACCCACCATCATCCCTGCCCTCTTTGATGAAGGTGCCCTGACAACAGTTCTTGCTTTGAGCTAGGCTTTCTCTGGAAGTAAAACTATATATCATATTATCTTAGCATTGATGAATGCTAATCATTGTGTAGACAGGACATTCCAGGCATTCATCAATACTAAGAGCTGGCAGTCCCTAGGTTTGTGGTGCTGCAGTGCAAAAATTGTAACCAGATTGCAATGTGTGGGTGAACCTGGACTTCAAAAGAGCTATTCCATTTGGCAGTAACAGAAACGGTGGTTATAGAATTATGACATTTTTATGAGCTACTCTTCTCTTTTCTGTTATGTATCATCTGTTTTGTGCACAAGATAAATCCTGTTTAGCCCCTTTTATTATCACTTTCCCCAATATTTTGTGTTTTTTTCTCCATGCAGAAGATACAACAGCTGTCTGAGGGATCTATGTTTGGCCATGGCCTTAAGCATCTGTTTCATAGCCGCAGACGGTCTCGAGAACGGGAGCACTCCAGTCCCCAGGACTCATCACAGCAGCACCAGCACCAGCACCATCATGGCATGTCTGACCATGATTCCCCTGACGAAAAAGAGCGTTCACCTGAGATGCACCGTGTTTCCTATGCTATGTCACTCCATGATCTCCCAGCTCGACCAACTGCTTTCAATAGAGTGTTACAACAGATCCGCTCTCGTCCTTCCATCAAGAGAGGAACAAGTTTGCATAGTGGCAGTCGTCGAGCCAAGAGTAGCTCCTTGGAACCCCAGAAAAGCAGCCCACACCTGGTTCGCAAGGCCCCCCAAGATAGCAGCCTGACAGCAATACTGCATCAACATCAAGGCCGGCCAAGATCCTCATCCACGACAGACACAACTGTCCTTATGGCTGAAAGTGGGAATGTATATTTCCTCACAGAGGAGTCAGAATGTCTCGGTGACAAGGTAGGGTTGAATTCAGCTTTAACAGGGATATACTGCCTTTACAAAGAAGATCAAATTCACATTGCAAAATTTTATCCCATTAGCAATGCCAGTGTATGGCTTCCTTGCCAGTGGAACTCAGAATCCACTCCAAGTTTAGTTGGATTTTTAACAGAGCTAAATTGCTGAACTTACTTGGGGAATAGGGTTTAGTACCTTAGACAAGTGTTTTTAAAAAGTGGAGTAGATTCACAATCCAGATGCCATTACCCACTGTGTGTCTTTTGTTTGATGGAGCCCTGGAATCTGAGAACTTGCAGCATCCATCTTTATATAGGGATTTAAAGCAAATCAATCTGATTGCATGATAATAACCATAATATCTGCAAGGAGCACCTTTTGTGCTAAGAAGAAGAGGCTCCTCATAACTCAGGTAGGAAACGGCAAGGTTGTTCAAGAATATTAGAAAGTTGTCTTCTGAAATAATGACTGAAAATACACTGCATCTCATATCTCCTGTCAAGAAATGATCCAAAGATGACTGGATTATCATCCCCATCCCTGGTCAATGTATGATCAAGTATCCAGTTACATGAGTCATGGATGGGATGTTACAAAACAGAACACTTTTGCCCTTCTAGGACATAATTACATTCATTACATTCATTCATTAATTACATTAATTAAATACATTGCTTTAAAAAAAGTAATATGGTACCAAAACAGTAGCAACAGGAGAACAGGGAACTGGAAAGACTTGTCATCTTTCATACCCAGTTATAGTTCTGTGTCAGTTACTTTTCTGTGGCCTATGGATTTGAGGTGCAGATGTAGGAACAGAATTTCTACTGACTTATTTATTTATTTATTTTGCAGTGTTTATATTCTGCCCTTCTTACCCCACAGGAGACTCAGGGTGGATTACAATGCACATATACATGGCAAACATTCAATGCTATTTAGATATACAACATATATAGACAGACACAGAGGCAATTTAACTTTCCAGATTTTTCTGGCTTCATGAGGGTTTGCTCGGTTCCAGCCACAGGGAGAACTGCTGCTTCACCGTCCATTTGTGACCCCGGGTCTTTTGACGGAGTACTTCCTCATTCTTCTGCACACTGCTGGAAGGTTTGATGGCATCGTAAATTAGTTAAATTAGCCTCCCCACATAAAGCGCTACCTACATTTCCTACTTGACAGATGCAACTGTGTTTCAGGCTGCATAGGTCAACAGCAAGCTAGGCTGTTAATGGCAAGGAGCTTACTCTGACTTGGGCTGGCTTTGAACTCATGACATCTCGGTCAGTAGTGATTTAATGCAGTTGGCTACTAACTAGCTGTGTCACAGTCTGAGTATATTCATTCCTTCTTTTTATCTCTTGGTAAGCTGCAGTATTCTGTACAGATGTTAATAATCCATACTGAGAAGCTAGTTTTTCACAGTTGATTTCCTGTCTTGAGGTCTGTTGAGAATTTCCAAAGAGACATGCTTGCCAAGACCCTTCAAAAAAAAAATCACAATATACATAGCACCTCTGCATAGCTTGTCTTCTCACCAGAACAACTCTGAGGGAGATATTTTTTTAAAGAAAGTAATTATCTGTATTTGTGAGCTGAATTCTAATGCCAGGTAAGTGTCCCATCTTTATAGAGGAAAACATGTTATTTTTGGTGCCTGGAGGATGGCTGGACACATTTCTAGGTGAAATGAAGGTGGTGGATGTGCCTATGAATACTCTGAATGAGGGGATTTGGAGGAGTTGTGAGGAGCTTTGCAGATTCTAAATAAGTGCTTTCATATTTACTAAGCACTTCCCACTAGACTTGTATATCTCCTGGTTCCATTGGGGACAGCAAGATCAGGATAATCCTATACTAAAGTACTTTTTCTATAAGATGCAAGGCTTGTTGCTTTGTGAGCTTCTTTATACAGTTACAGCAACAGCTTGAAGTGGAGGTCTTGGAGCTTCCCACAGGGAGGTGTTTGGATATTGCTCCTTCAATCATCCAGGCATTTCCCTTGTAATGGGAGAAGTGCATTTTTGGATGGAGGGCACACCACAAAGAGGTGAAAAAAGTGATGGGGAAATCCTATTAAATATTTATGTGTTTCATCCAGAAGTCATTGTAATATTTGGGAACTATTTTTCTACCTATGGCAAGATTAGGACCCATGAATGGAGCCAAGTGCCTTTCTTTAAATCACTCATATGATGTCACAAACATTAACCTGTTATAACAACATTTTATGACAATGCTGCTCCATTGGACCTTTGGAATAGCCACTTTCAGGGGACTTCTCAGCACGCTTACATACATCATATTTATGCCAGTATCTCTGAGAAATGCTGTTTTTCAGAATTCCTGACAAGAACTCAGTAACCATAAGCAACAACATCTTGGAGTTTCCTAAGATAGTGCTGGGACGAGAGATCTTAGATAAAGTGAAGATCTAGTGCAATAGTAACATTGCAAGAAAAATGGATCATGTACTCATTATTCATTTACTGTTGTGTGCCTTCAAGTTGTTTCCGTCTTATGGTGACCTTAAGGCAAAGCACAGGCAAGATTTGTTCAGAGGGGGTTTGCCTTTTCCTTCCTGTCAGGTTTAGAGAGTGTGGCTTGCTCAGGGTCACCCAGTGGGATTTGAACCCATCTCCACAGTCAATTCCAACACTCAAACTACTACACTTTCTGTCGCCTCATAGTGACTTGTTATTAAGGACACCATATATAATGTAAAAGGACTTTCTGTTTCAGAATTTGTATAGGGTTGCTTTTTTAAAAAATAGGGTTGCTTTTTTTTAAAAAAAAAATCGCCTCTGTTCTATTTTTCCTGAAGACCCCGGGCTACCAAGTTATAGAGCCCTGATTTGCTGTGACTTTGCTTTAAAGATTTTCTTTCTTCTTTTGTACTTATCTCCTCTTGGTGTCAGAAATAGAACCAAAAGATCTTGCTGCATGATTTTCTCTAGTTTTGCATCTCACAAAACCAACAGCTATGTCTCTCTGGGGACATGGGGAGTAAGTATCAGGACTGTAGAGCTCAGGGCTGCTGCCAAAGTGAGTCTGAACTTGGAAAGCTGTCAAGGGTGGCAGCTTGCATATGTGCCTGGGAGGGATACAGAAAGGCGAGAGCTGCAATTTTAGCTGACTGTTTTGAAGATGGAAAAGCCAGGTGCCTGACAGATAAAGTTCATGTAACCCATTCTTGTTATTGTTCATTGCTGTTGTTAAAGTAGCTGAGTGCTCGGGTCAAAATCAAAGTCCTATTGTGTGCTGCATCACAAATGTTCCATTTCATGGTTATAAGATGCTTCTTGGTGACTTACAGGTTTATCTTTAATAACTGGGTGGCAGATGTGCAATCTTCCTGTTCAGTAATCTTTGGCCCACTCCATATGGCCAGAGCAGTTTTAGGGGCAGGTTATTTTAGAATTGTTTTAATAAGTTTTTGAAGTAATTAAATGGAACTACTGCTTACCTTGCATATAAAATATGGGGATGGGGCACAGTAGGGATTGTCGTGTAAGGCTCTTTATCAGAGGTTTTTTTAGGAGTGAAATCGACTAAGCTAAGAGATGCTTATAATCTGATTTAGTTAATGTAATCAATCCAGTGATGTTTGAGGGGAGAGACTGAAATTAAGAAGTGGGATTAGAATTAACTGGATTTTCCTGGGTGAAAAGAAAAGGGCGGTGTTTTGAATTCCATTCCAGACTGTTACTCAGTAATCATGCTATTGAAGCTGCGTTTGGGCTGCTTTTCACGATAAATTAAAGATAATTTGTTCATGTTACTGTATGGAAGTAATTCTATACACAACTAAAGTTTGGGATGTATGTTTTTAAGAAGGATCCTTGTCAGCATCTAGTGTATGACACCCCCCCCCCCCACAAACACACCTTTTTTTAAAGGTCATATCTCTATAATAAGTACAGTAGAGTCTCACTTATCCAACATAAAGGGGCTGGGATACCGTTGGATAAGCGAAAATGTTGGATACTAAGGAGGGATTAAGGAAAAGCCTATTAAACATCAAATTACATTATGATTTTACAAATTAAGCATCAAAACATCATGTTTTACAACAAATAGACAGAAAAAGCAGTTCATTACATGGTAACATTGTGTAGTAATTACTGTATTACTGTTTCAATTAAAATATTGGAACAGCTGTGGATCCAGGCGGGAGGCAAACTGTGTTGGATAATACAAAACGTTGGATGAGCGAAGGCTGGATGAGCAAGACTCTACTAGAATATGGATAAGGTGTATAAAACCTGCATATTTAAAGATTGCTGGCCAACTGTCCTATGAAGAATAAACACACACAATTACAGGAAACTCTCTGACCATCTTTAGTGACATGTGACCGTAGTCCTGCCAGATTGTCAAAATAGCAATAAGGGATGTTTGAAATTCATGATGTTTGGGGTTGATAATCAGACAACAGTTATTATAAGCTTGCATTCTACCAAAATAGCCAATAAAATACTTTGCCATTCTACTGAAATAACCAATACTTTGCCATGTATTTCTCTTTACAGTTCACATATTGGCCACATTCATAATTTTCCATCTATACTATAAATGCATGCATAAGACAAGGACAGGTTTTGGTGCCAAAACTATGGATTTTAATATGACCCGTGGATAAATTGAAAGAGAAAAGTACTAGCATCACCTAAGGGGGGGGGGGGGTAGTTATCTATGGCTGCCACTGCCATTTTCGCACAGAGGCATTTTTGTTTTTGAAATAAGATATATCTGTTAATTTAAAAAAGCATTCCCCTCTCTGAGCAGAGTGGTGAAAGGCAAGGGCTTAGTCCATACTAAGAGAGCCTAAAAAACATTTTTTTCCAAGTACTCCCTTTACATCCTTTGTGGGGGAAGCACCAAAGAGTTGCTGCTGCCACTACCATTTTCCCCTCCAGAATTCAAAAAGGCTTTCAGTTTTTTTTATGAGTGATTCCAATGATTGTGTGACACATAAAGTGGTCCTTCTTGCCTGA